GAAGAGATCCATATTTGTGCCCATTCCAAAGAGAGGTGACCCAACAGAATGCGGAAATCATCAGACAATCTCTTTGATATCCCATGCGAGTAAAGTTTTGCTAAAGGCACAACAGAAATGGCTACAATCATGCATTTATAGAGAACTTCCAGATGTTCAAGCCGGATTCAGAAGAGGCCGTGGAATGAGGGATAACACTGCTAATGTTCGATGGATCTTGGCTGAAAGCAGTGAATGAATATCAGAAAGATATTTCCCTGTGCTTTATTGACTACGCAAAGGCTTTCGATTGTTTGGATCAATGCAAGCTATGGACAACATTGTGATGTGTGATTATTCTGGAACACTTAATTGTGCTCATGAGGAATCTGTACCTGGACCAAGAGGCAGTTGTTCAAACAGAACATGGGAACACTGAAATGGTTTAAAATTAAGAAAGGTATATGACAAGGTTGTATTCTTTCACCATACTTATTCAACCTGTATGCTGAGCAAATAATATGAGAAGCTAGGTTACATGAAGAAAAACATGGCATTAGGATTGGAGGAACGCTAATTAACAACCTGTGATATGCAGAAGATACCACCTTGCTTGCTGAAAGTGGTGAGGAGTTGAAATACTTACTGATGAAGATCAAAGAGCACAGCCTTTGGTATGGATTACATTTCAATGTCAAGAAAACAAAAATCCTCACCACTGGACCAATAGACAACATTCTTATCAATGGAGAAAAGACTGAATCTGTCAAGGACTTCATTCTTCTTGGATCAACTATCAACACTCACAGAAGCAGCCGGCAAGAAATCACAGGACGTATTTCATTAGGCAAATCTGATGCACAAGACCTTTTTAAAGTGTTGAAGAGCAAAGATGTCAGCTTGAGGATTAAGGTGCACCTGACCCAAGCCATGATATTTTCAATAACCTCATATGGATACGAAAGCTGGACAGTGAATAAGGAAGACCATAGAAGAATTGATGATTTTGAGTTATGGTGTTAGAGGAGAATATTGAAAGTGCCATGGGCTGCCAAAAGAACCAATAGATCCATTTTGGAAGAAGTGCAGCCAGAGTCCCCCTTAGAGTCCAAGATGACCAAACTTCATCTCTCATACCTTGGACATATTGTCAGGAGGGACCAGTCACTGAAGTAGGATATCATGTTTGGTAAAGTGGAGGGTCAGAGAAAAAGATGAAGACCCCCAATGAGATGGATTGGCCAAGTGGCAGCATCAATGGACTCAAGCGTGGCAACAGTAGTGAGGTTGGCCCAGGATCGGGCACTGTTTCTTTCTGTTGTGCATACGGTCGCTATGGGTTGGTACTAACTCAATGGCAACTAACAACAACAATAATATATATATATTTACTAGGATAATAAATTATCCTACTAAAATGAGAAATTATAAAGAAGAAAATAAAAATACACCATTCTTAGATAAGCACTTTTAGAATTTCACTTAATATATATCCGCATCAAAACACACAATGATTTTACATTTATTGCATGACAATTCTAATACAGTTTAAAATTTGTTTGATTTGCTTTTCTTAGTGAAAAAGAAATGTCATAGATATCTTTACATGTCAAAAATCAGGAACAAAAATAATGTCTTGTATGAATATATATTTATTCAACTAGAGAATGCTCGGTAATTTATTTCACCGCTCCCCTATTGTAAGACATTAATCTTGTTTACAGTGCTAGGCTTTCATCGGACAATCTCTTTGGTATCTCAAGTGAGTAAAGTTTTGCTAAAGGTAATACAGAAACAGCTACAATCATACATTGGCAGAGAACTTCCAGAGGTTCAAGCTGGATTCAGAAGAGGCTGTGGAATGAGAGATATCATTGCTGATGTCCGATGGATCTTGGCTGAAAGCAGAGAATACCAGAAGGATTTTTACCTATGCTTTATTGACTACAAAAAGGCTTCTGATTGTGTGGATCATGACAAGCTATGGACAACATTGAGAAGTATGGGTATTCCAGAACACTTAATTGTACTTCTGAGAAATCTGTACCT